TTGAAACTGAAGCTAAAAAAGAACTGAACAGGTGGACAAACAGCAATACAAAGGTTCAATACAGCCTTCCTTCGAGATACTGTCAAACTCAATGAATTCAAGATAGCTCTCAACAACAGGTTCCAAGCCTTACGAGATCTACTGAAAGAAGAAGAAACTACTATGGAGGACAACTGGAAAGGCATCAAGGAAGCATTAACTTCAACGTGTCAAGAGGTTCTCGGTCTAAAGAAATACCATCATAAGGAATGGATCTCTACAGAAACAGTGGACAAGATCAAAGAAAGGAAGAACAAGAAAGCAGCAATAAACAACAGCCGAACACGAGCAGAGAAAGTCCAAGCACAAGCTGAATACATAGAAGCAAACAAGTGAAGAGGAGCATTAGAGCCGACAAGAAGAAATACGTGGAAGAACTAGCAACGACGGCAGAAAAAGCTGCTAGAGAAGGAAATATGAAACAGCTTTACGATACAACAAAGAAACTATCAGGGAAATACAGTAAACCAGAGAGGCCGGTCAAAGACAAAGAAGGCAAGCCAATCACCGAAATTCAACAACAACGTAACAGATGGGTAGAATACTTCGAGGAACTCCTGAATAGGCCGGCTCCAATGAATCCACCGGACATCGAAGCAGCACACATAGATCTTCCTATAGATGTCAATCCACCAACTACGGAAGAAATTAGAATGGCCGTCAGACAAATCAAGACCGGGAAAGCAGCAGGACCCGACAACATACCAGCTGAAGCACTGAAATCAGACATCGAAGCAACCACAAGCATGCTTTATCTTCTATTCAAAAAGATTTGGGAGGAGGAACAAGTGCCAATGGACTGGAAAGAAGGACACCTCGTCAAGATTCCAAAGAAAGGAGATCTGAGCAAATGTGAAAACTACAGAGGCATAACACTACTGTCAATACCAGGGAAAGTCTTCAACAGATTGTTGCTGAACCGGATGAAGGATGCAGTAGACGCCCAACTTCGAGATCAACAAGCTGGATTCCGTAAGGATCGGTCGTGCACAGACCAAATCGCAACACTACGGATCATCGTCGAACAATCAGTTGAGTGGAACTCATCACTATACATCAACTTCATTGATTATGAAAAGGCATTCGACAGTGTAGACAGGAGGACGTTATGGAAACTTCTTCGACACTACGGAATTCCTGAGAAGATTGTCAATATTATCCGGAACTCATACGATGGACTACAGTGCAAGGTCGTGCGTGGAGGACAGCTGACAGATGCATTCCAAGTAAGGACCGGAGTCAGACAAGGCTGTTTACTTTCTCCCTTCCTCTTTCTTCTAGTGGTCGACTGGATTATGAAGACCTCGACATCTGAAGGAAAACACAGAATACAATGGACAGCTCAGAATCAATTAGACGATTTGAACTTCGCAGATGACCTAGCTCTCCTATCACGTACACACGAACAGATGCAGATGAAGACAGCCAGTGTAGCAGCAGTCTCTGCATCAGTAGGCCTCAGCATACACAAAGGGAAAACTAAGGTCCTCAAATTCAAAGCGGAGAACAGCAATCCAATCACTCTTGATGGCGAAACTCTGGAAGATGTAGAATCCTTCACATATCTGGGAAGCATCATCGATGAACAAGGAGGCTCAGATGCAGACGTAAAGGCGAGGATCGGCAAAGCAAGGGTCGCATTCCTACAATTGAAGAACATATGGAACTCAAAACAACTTTCAACCAATATCAAAGTAAGAATCTTCAATACGAACGTCAAGGCAGTTCTACTGTATGGAGCTGAAACTTGGAGAACTACAACAACCACAATCAAGAAGGTACAAGTAATTAAAAATAGTTGTCTACACAGGATACTTAACACCCATTGATCAGATACCATGAGGAACAGCCTACTGTGGCAGAGAGTAAACCAACTTCCAGCTGAAGAGGAAATTAGGAAAAGACGATGGAAATGGATAGGACATACATTACTCAAATCGTCAAACTGCATGACGAGGCAGTCGCTGACTTGGAATCTTGAAGAGCAGCGGAAAAGTGGAAGGCCAAAGAACACATTACGTCGGATAGTAGAAGCAGATATGAAAAGGATGAATTACAACTGGAAGGAGCTGGAAAGGATTGCCCAGGACAGGGTTGGATGGAGAACGCTGGTGAGCGGCCTATGCTCCTTCACGAGGAGTAACAGGCGTAAGTAAGTAAGTAAGTACGCTAGACCAAAGATCCTGCGTTTGAGTTCCGCGTCAAAGACGGGGAATGCAAACTGATGAGGAGTTCCATACCAGGACAAAACAACCGTCCAGTACTTCCAGGTTTTCTGTGGTGATCTTATCTTAAACGACTCATGAATTGAACCATTAAATAACAATTTCCTACACAACATAGTATTCTATAAAAACATTTGATCGAATTGTAATTGCACTATTATTTCTCTCACCCTATCTGACCCATATTTATTCGGATCATGGGATGTTACAATTGTTAATTAACATATGAGCTGATTCAAGTTAACATTCTAAACGAGTTAAATCAGCATGAACAATTTTATTCTATTTTGTTTGACAATCCTTAATTCATATGTTTTAACTTTAAATGATGCAGTTTGCCCTTAACCTGACCATTTTTCTGATTACCCGTTTGGATATATAAATTGTAGGACCTGAAGGGAATTTATCAAAATAAATAGTCCTCGAGTGAACATCAACTCTGAGGTGCAGGCACATCAGACTGACGAGCCTCAAAAGGGACGAAACGCGCGTTCTGGATTCAAATGCTAGCCAATATCCATCTTTGCTTATAACGCTTGTGAATTAAGGCTATATTGAGGCAATACGCACAGTATACACATATGCCAATAAAAGACTGATCTCATGCAATTGGTTCCCTTTATTTAAAAGACTGATCAATTGAAGTGCTAAACATCAATGGGAAGATTCAAGTAAACAATACCAAGTGGATTTAAAAATAATCTCGATTGGAAGGAAAACACTTAACATAAACGTCGATTTCAGAGGTGATAGAGTTAGACGTCCTAAAGAGAATTCACGATTCTCTAAAAATAACGTTTACCGAATAGTGTTCTCCAGCCGATCAATGTTATTCAATAATCTTAAGGATAAATCGTTTCATCTGACAAGTTCTATATGAATTCATCAATTTACCTGTTGATGTGGAGCCAGGTATATACGTCGTTCTGTGTGGAATTCCAAGCCGCCTGCTTGAATATCTGGGCTACCCGACATGGCTAAAAAGAGGCAGAAACGGTTCAACAAGAAGCTCGATAATCGAACACCCTATGAACATATGGTGTCATCTACAAGGTAAGTAGAAGGCTGAAAAAGGCTGTTATATAGCATCTTCTTAACATTGTTAAAGAAATAGTTCTACATCTGGAAAAACCAGAATTATATGTCCTAAAGAAATCGGTACAACCTCTTTATCTACCATAGTATTAATGTCTCAATTGTCTTTCTTCACTGCCATTTGTTCCCCCTTCTATCTTTTCCACAGATCTTTTATTCCCAACTGGTTTATTTTCGTTTCTATGATCCTCCTAATTACATTTTAACTTAATTCGAACATTTTATCTTATCATGTTGAACCAAACTTTCTCAGTTATAATTTCCCTATCTATCTTTATGATGAATATTCTAATCCTTAAAAATGGAAATACTATTAGTTTCCCTGATAAAAAAATAACGTATAAATACCTTTGTTTACTCTACCTCACTGTTTCAATGTTTAATAGATTTTTGTTATCAGTATGCACAATCTGAAACAAAGTGATGCACTACTGAAAAACTTGCTTCACTGGTTCTGTTCAATAAATAAACGAAATAATTTGCTAAGGTTGCTAAAACTGGACGTACGTTAATACATGACAAACCCCTTTAAAGATGCAAGACATTGAGCCAACTTAGCTTCCTCGACCGTTGTTGCTACCTTAACGTGGTGGTCAGGCTTGCCTATCATGATAAACCAGTTGAGCTATGCTGAATGGAAAAAAAGTTCCTCAAGGTCCTACTATGTTAGACAGGTCGGTTGATTAGCGGTAAGACTAAAAGCAAACAAACTCAAGGTCCGAACGCGAACTCATACTCCTGACTAAACAGAGGTGTGACGACAGTAAGCTGTTTCCTACAGACAACCAGCATGATAGCGATGATGCCTTCTCACAAGGAAGGGTGTGGTCATAAATGGTCGACCCTAGAAATGCACACCTCGCCTTATCCCACGGATATCCGTCTCCGGCGGTAATGTCTCAATAATTACGTAGCTAACACAGAATTACCCACAAACGGGTCGTTTGTGACCGAACTCAAGCAGTTGTCTCTTGGGCACTGTGGTCACGGTCTCAGGTCACGAAGACCACCTCTAATACAATTTCCTTTTCAAGCACCTCCAGAAGAACCCTTCTACGGTGTGGGCGACCGAGAAGTGATAACCTTTCTCATACCTCAAACAGCACTCAAGGCCACTGTATTCATAATCGACCTCCCTGTTGAATTCCTAAAATTTGGCTTTGGTTATATGTTTTATTATATTAGCTACCAATCGATAAGAGTTCTCCAACAAGTGCCGGAATTTAATTCATTTTTAAAAAGATTAGGACAATTCAATCATAAAGTTAAATCACCCATCCTAATCACCAAACTTGGTAAGCCTTGGTAATTTCTTTTTTTTCTTCTGGGAAATCAGAATCCTCATTTAAAAACGATAGAAAATGAAACAATGTAACACCTAAAAAAGCATGACGTAGGAAAAGTGTACTATCGTAAAGAATATTACGTATTTTAATATGGTAGAGAAGATTTATAGCTCAGGTGAATGATTTTGTTAGAGTTTTGTTCTCTGACGTGAATGATTTGGTCATAGAGTTTTCATTGTTCTTCTGAACAACAATTCAGCTCATCAAGACATAATCGGAATAGCATATAATTGATTTCATTTAATGTTTCTTATACATATACATATATCACTGATGAAAAGTTTCATAGAAATATAAACACTAATAATGAAGTTTATTTAATTTCGAAAAAAAGAAAAGAAACAAATAAATATAACTTGTTTACAATCATTTTATTTTATTTTCTCGTTTTCATACTCTGTTCATCAAAAAATAAAGAAATTTTTTTCTAGAAAAAACAAACAAACAAACAGAATACAAACCAGAAGAAGAAGAAGAAGGAAATTAGCCTCCTTCCCCTCTTCCTCCCCCTCCCCCTTCATTTATACATCACTTTACTATTATTTTATGCATATATACATATGTATGTGTGTTGACGCGTAGGGAGGGAGGGTGGTAGGGGGAGACTAATTAGCAAATATGAAATATTAAATACAAGGATCAAGTATACAAATAACAAATTTTCTATTAGAAAAACAACAAAAACAAAAAAAAACAAAAATGGGAACTCCATATAATAAATCATACTCCAAGAAGATTTCAATCATTGAGCAAAAAGAAAACAAAAGAAAACTCTATCGTTTCAATGTTTATTAGGAATACACTTTCATTAGGTAATCAAGATGATAAGCAATAAAGAAAAAGACAAACATTAAAGACTTGTTACATTTCATTTCGAGAGTTAACAACTAATAAGAATAATTTTATTCAAATCTATTATATACTACTTATTTAATATCATCTAATAAATAAGATGATATTTCATATTATAAAAAAAACTCTATTTCTAATCATATATATATGTGAATATGCACAAAATGAAGTGCTTTATGAAATGATTATATAATACTTTCAATAGTTGAAATCATGTGTCAATTGAAGCTAGACCACCAGGGAAAACCTGAAAGCTTCCAGCTTCAAATGTCTCATGATCTCAACCATTAGTATCCATAAAACAATTCTGATATTATGATAATATTTAGTAGTATTTCACTTGATTATTTATAAGAAATCACTTAAAGAACAATTACAAATGGAATATTTGTATGTATACATATTCTGTAATAGTTTCAACAAGAAAATAATAATATCTTGATTTACTCATCTACACACACACACACACACATACATACATACATACATACATACATACATACATATGTTTACAAAAAAAAAAGGAAATAGAAAGGGGTAAAACTGTACCGGGAAATGGTGCAAATTGATTAGTAAAAGGGAAAATACCTGGGCAGTAAAGTAATCATATTGCTATTCATTTTAAATTTGTTACGTAATCATTGATAAGTAATCAATAATCAGAAGAATAACAATAATGAATACTAAGAGATATTAATTTAAAAAAAAAAAGAAAACAAACAAACAAATATATGTCAATCTTCAAGTGGATACTTTTCAATTCGTTCACGTATTTCATCCAGTGTATAATCTTTTAATAAAACTCCATTTTCATAAACTGGGATAAGTAAATCCTGGAAAATAGAAAAGAAAAGTAAGTTGTAACACAATTTATGCTAATGGATACACATATTATTATTATTATTATTCAAAAAACACCTAAACACTAGCGTTATATTATAATAATAATACTTTTCACCTTGATTTTTATTGGTTAATATATATGTATCGGAAGGGGTTTTGTGGATATTATAGTAATTTTATTAGTTGAGATCATGAGTCAATTGAAGCTAGATCACTATAAAAACCTTGGAAGCACTGAACGGTCGTTTTGTCCTATTGTAGGGCTCCTCAGCAGTGCGCAGTCACGACCTCGCCTCGCGAGTTTCGAATCCATGGCCTGTCCATTTCGTGCTCGAGAGCTTTAACCTCTAGATCACTGAGCCAGCCGGCATCGAACGGTGTTAATTATTAACTTCAACTAATCCATGAAATTGAGCGACACATCCACCAATGTCATCAGTGAGTTACTATCTCACAATAGACCCGGTTGAACTCCACTGGTCGCTGCTTCTCACTATAACTCCAGGAAACACCTCTTGGAGACCGTCACTAGTGAGTATATGTTGGTTAATATCAGAATCTGTTTTGTATATATTACAGTAATTTTGATAGTTGAGATCATGAGTCAATTCATGTGTCGCTCAATTTCGTGGATTAGTTGAAGTTAGACATTAACATCGTTGGATGACAGCTGGCTCAGTGATCTAATGGTTAAGCGCTCGCGCGCGAGACGGACAGTCCCTGGGCTAGAATCTCGCGAGGCGGGATCGTGGATGCACACTGCTGAGTCCCATACTAGGACGAAACGGCCGTTCAGTGCTTCCAAGTTTTCCATGGTGGTCTAACTTAAATTGACTCATGATCTCAACTATTAAAATTAGTATATATACACCAAGATTATAGTAATATCTGAGATTTAAACAAAATCAGGGAAGGAATTCAAGACGAAATAATAAACAGGAATTAATAACCATTTCTTATTGATAATTAGTGTTAAAATCTAATACGTGAAGTTAACTATTATGTATAAATCATTTTGTATTGTTTATTGGAATCTTCTCATTGATGTCTAGAACTGAAGTTGATCAGTCTCTTAATGATATATGTGTATCCTGTGTAGATTGTCTTCGAGTCTACGAGTGAATATCAACTCTAGGATGCAGATGCATCTAGCTGACGAGTGTCAGATAGTACGAAACGGGAGTTGTGGATTCCACTTCTAGCCATTATCCATCTCTACTTATTATGAATAATGTTATGTCATGTAGCATTGTTGTGTATAACGACGTTTAGTTGTATTCAGTTGTATTCTTCTGAACGACATCATCAGCACAAAGTTCAGATAGAAGTGCTGGTGATGAAAGCACCAAGACCGAACCATTTAACACAGAGAACAAAACTCCAACAAAATTACATCGTTTGTATTTTGCTTTTGAAACTCAAATATGTTAAGTTTATTTTGGGAAGTTCGTAAATCTTATTAAAATGTTATATGGATTTTAATTCGATTTGTTCTTTATTACTTTTTTCATAAAAGAATAATGATCATTTACTCACAGTTACTTTAATGACCTCTGAAATTCATTACTATTTCCTTGTCTTCCTGTACTGATTGATTGTAAGCGATTCTTTAACTTAAATATTGGTCAATTTTATGTAGCTCTTAACCTGTCTATCGTCATGTTTTGGATTTCGCACAAAAATCGAAGAGCTACTATTTTAAGTTTGATGACAGGATGAAAAGGGAATGTATTTGTTTATTTATTTGAACACAAATATTGGTACAAAGGGGCACCGAATACATATGTGCAACACAAGTCACTTGATTTGTGTGCGAACTGTGATACTTCCCGGGTGCCCAGACTAAAGCAGGTGGTTTTCTTAAGGGGCCACACTCGGAGCTTACGACCTGAAATTCTGATCCACAAGTCAGTGGAGCAACATCAGGAGATGAAGTCTCGTAATAGCCTGTGACCAACAATAGATCCATACGCAATTGAAAAATGCATTCTGTTCTATAGAAGTGCAAAATGTTTCTGCAAGTTTGTCAATTGTTTATATCTATTTTCACTTCCTCAGGGTTAGCCGTCATTAATTTGTGTGTTTGTAAAGATATTTGAGTTTGGTCGTGGAGCTTTCATCGTTCTTCTGAACGACATCATCAGCACAAAGTTCAGATAGAAGTTACTTACTTACTTACGCCTGTTACTCCTAATGGAGCATAGGTCGCCGACCAGCATTCTCAAACCCACTCTTGTTCTGAGACTTCTTTTCTAATTCCATCCAATTCTTGTTCATTTTTCTAATGTCTATCTCCATTTCAGATAGAAGTGCTGGTGATGAAAGCTCAACGACCGAACCATCCAGCTCAGAGAACAAAACTCCATCAAAATCATCCACCTGAGCTACAAATCTTCTTCACCATCTCACACACTAAGTAATTATACATCAATATTTCTACAAGCTATTCTTTTACCTATTAATATTAACTTACGACTCTAATCCTTATTCTTAATCTGAACTCCTAACATTGACTGTCTTTTGTGTTTTTTTTCTAAAAAAAAACGTTGAGTTATGTTGTGTGAGGATTTGGTGTACTATTATAAAATAACATTTAGAGGGTGCGACTATAATCTATGGACGACATTTGAGAGACGCTGAGGTGACAACTTGAGAGTGTTCATCTAATAACTAGGACTAAATGAGGATTATAAACCAATGTGAGAAATCAAATTTATGATTTACAGTTGATGGTTAAAGTACGGAATTACATTTAGGGTTTTCACCACGAACTAACATCAACTATAATGCTAAAATTCTATTTCGCCAAATGGATGGGTGGTGAATTTCAAGCCAAAATTCAAAACCTGTTATCTTATACCCGATTGGTTCGTCCATAAATTATAATCTCGCCCATTTAGAATAATCCAAAGTTGTTGATAAGGTCCTAGAGTTTCACAACTTTAATTCTTATAAAATATAAATAAATTATACAAAAATAGTTAACAAATAACAAAGAAAAATTATTTGAAGTACACATAATACATCAATACAAACAATGACTGATAATAACCTACATTATATGGACTACCACAACCTTCTTCTACCGTCATAAGTATTCCAGTTATTGGACATTTTTCTAATGTTAAACGACCTTTTTTCGAATTTTTTTGTGGATCAGTAATTGGATGTTTGGATACTTGAATCTGTTAACAAAGAGATAGATATTGAGAGAAAAGAAAAAAAGGTTTGTCAAATGAATAAAATAAACCAATTGTGAATAAACAATCTAATTATTTATGAAACGGATAAACTTAGTTGTTTCAAACAATTGACTTTCAAATCAGTAGTTAGTAGTATTAGGTTAGAACTTAACTGTTCTACCTACTCCCAACCGTTTTTGCTACCTTGACATGATGGTCAGATATCCGTCTCCGGTGGTAAGGTCTCAACAAGTATGGAGCTAACACAAAAATTACTCATAAAAAGGTCGTGTGTGACCGACATCAAGCAGTTGTCTCTTGTGCACTGCGGTCACGCTCTCAGGTCACTAAAACCATCTCTAATCCAATTTCCTTTTCAGTTACCTCCAGAAGAACCCTTCCACACTGTGGACAACCGGGAAGTGATAACGACCCCCTCATACCCCTAACAGCACTCAAGACTACTGTATTCATAATCAACTGATTCTACCTACTACTTCAGTTTAGATAAACTATGTAGTAAGTAGTATGATAAGTTGTCATACAAATAGTGTGGCTTAAAAGACAAAGTATATAAATTTGTACTAAATAGATAATATTAATAATAATTATTATTTATTTATTTATTTATTTACCTTATGACCATTAACTATAGCAAAACTTGATTTGAAAGCACATTTCTGTGTATCACGATTTAAACGTTGTAATAATGCACCACCACTTCCGAAACTAACATTTTCAGCACTCCAACCAGCTGTCTTGATACTATTCAGAATAGGATCTAAATGAGTTGAATAAATTAGGAAACAAAAATGAGGGCAATAATGATGAAAGTTAATTAAATTAGGTAAAACAAATAAGAAAGACGTTACGTGAAAATTCTTGTAGGAAATTATATAGACCATTAAATGTAGACAATTCAAGACTATAACAGGATGTTATCATTAAGTCGGAATCAATGTAGGGACTGACAACAAACTTGTACTAATTTGGGTTTCTATAGTAAATTAGAATGATAAGATGAAGTTAATAAGATGGAAAGAAATTACGTAATGTCCTTAGATAACCTGAAACTGTGGCGAAACTGGCTTCCTATGATAGAAGAAAAGGCTGAGAAAATGTCCGCACTAAAAGTAGTATAACTCAATTTACCCAACGCGTTTCCATTAGTAAAAGTAAGGTATTTAAATTAAGGAGCTAATATATTAAAGTCAAGATACAGAAAAGCTTTATGTGACCGGTCTCAAGCAGTTATCGTTTGGACATTGCGGTCACGCACCCAGAGCGTCAAAACCACTGCTAACGCAGTTTTCTTTTTCACTTATATCACAAGAAGTTGCATCGCACCATGATTTCAGTCAGTCAGCCAAAAACGTAGAACTTTGTACGTACGTACATCTAGTATGCGACTTGTTAACAGCGCGTTTTCACTAAGTCACCAGTGACCAGATCCAGAACCTTCAAGTCACGCGGCGAATGTACAATCACTAGAATCACTGATTTGGTATTCAACTGTTTACAATATTGAACAATCGTATTTCAATGTCATTACTAATGGATAAACAACACAGCATGCACCAATCCAATCACAATTGACGGGGAAGATTTGGAAGATGTAAAAACCTTTACATATTTGGGCAGCATCATTGATGAACAGGATGGATCTGATGCAGATGTGAAGGCGCGGATCGGCAAAGCAAGAGCAGCATATTTACAACTGAGGAACATCTGGAACTCAAAGCAACTGTCAACCAACACCAAGGTCAGGATTTTCAATACAAATGTCAAGACAGTTCTACTGTATGGGGCAGAAACCTGGAGAACTACGAAAGCCATCATCCAGAAAATACAGGTGTTTATTAACAATTGTCTACGCAAAATACTTCGGATCCGTTGGCCAGACACTATTAGCAACAACCTACTGTAGAAGAGGAAGAAATAAGGAAGAAGCGCTGAAAGTGGATAGGACACACATTGAGGAAAGCACCCAACTGCTTCACAAGATAAACGCTCACATGGAATCCTGAAGGCCAAAGGAAAAGAGGAAGACCAAAGAACATATTACGCCGGGAAATGGAGATAGATATGAGAAAAATGAACAAGAATTGGATGGAACTAGAAAGGGAGGCCCAGGACAGAGTGGGTTGGAGAATGCTGGTCGGCGGGCTATGCTCCATTGGGAGTAACAGGCGAAAGTAAGTAAGTACTAATGGATAAAATGCCTAACTACCATAAATCTTAAACATTCCACAAAGAAAAACTAAGATAAACAAAAATCTAATAAGTAATCTTATTTACTTACCTAATGATTCTAATGAAACACCATCACCTTGTATAACTCGTATACACGATGGTAGAACTTTGTAACCTTTAGAATTAATTTTATAACCAAACTTGCTGCCTAAAATATCTAATACTTTTGGCATAATTACAACTGGATCACCTGAATCCGGTCGTATAACAACTGTACCATTACGATTTATAACCTAAATTACAAAAAAAAGAAAACAATAAACAAATAAAAAGACTCAATAACCTTAATCAGTTGGTAACGGACTAAATCTATACTTTGCAAATGTGTAATTATGAGTGTGGCAGAGACACGTATTATATATACGGAACATTAACTGGTTAAAAAAATAGATTGAGAAAAAAGAGGTAAGAGTGATTAAATTAAAATGCGTAATCAGTTCGTGAAATCATAAACCGTTAGAGTGACTTAGTTTGACAGGTACAGCTACACATCAAACAATTATAAAGAGTAGCTGACAACACAAGTACATAATCGTGAAATGATTCAAGTTAGAAATATAAATTATTAACTTTCAACCCAGTCAAGGGGTGTGGATCAGTAAATTAGGATAAACCAACTACCTATTCCTTATTTATCTTTGATTATTACATGATAATACTAGCCCATGATAAGAACTCTATTCATTGAAAATGTACTTGAAATACAGATGAACTCACTAATTTAACAAACGGTAAACAATACAATTAACTCCTCCTGGAGCCCCTCTGGTTAGCGAGTCAGCTACAACGTAGGACCAGGCACATACATGCATCGGTTTAAGTTGCCACACTTCATTTGCACAACAAGATAAACACCAAATTCATAGAAGTGGTTACTTCAATCATAGTAATATATTAAAAAACATATTGTGTATAAACATACAATACATGAAGAAAGTAGGGAAGAAAATAATTTCAATATCATGGTTTAAGGAAAGATGAAGAGTGTATACAATGACGCCTTTGTGATCGATTCTCAGCCAAGTCACACAGAGTCTCCAATCATTAGTTATGATAGTTAAGCGAACACCGACCAGATACTTTGAATCTATCAATATGGCTAAGACTAGAAGCTAGTGACTTCAAGCCCTTCTGGGGCTATTGCCGGTCCCAAGTCCGGATAAAGAAGGAGGATTAGGTATGGGATTAGCGACCCCATCCCGTTGAAAACTAACTCGCTAAAAAACGCTAACCAGAAAAATAATTCAAACCATTTAAACTCTGCCCTGGGAGTTAGGTTTTCCTTTAGAAGAGTTGTGACACATGGTGAAAGCCGAACGGCTTATACTAATCAGGGCCATCTTTGGCTGTAAAAGTTCGGGTCTATAACACGTTAGTGAGAGCAGTTTCACACTATGCTTATGAAATTTGGCCTCTCTGAGTTGGGTATGTTTAACGACTCTGTGTTTGATCGTCGTTGTCTCCAATGGATAGCTGACATCCAATGGCAAACCATGTTAGTTATTCTGAGGTTCGGCAACATATATTCGGGCACACCGACGGTAATTTAATTGTCACTATCTTGAAACATCAACTTAGGTGGCTTGAACAAATCTTACGAATGTCATCCCAAAACGTTCTACATCGCGCACTATTTGCCGACGCTAGAACCAGTTAGAGAAGGCAGATGTCGTAGTATGAAGGAAAGCTGTACAGAACTGGTTTGTGTTTATCCTTCACGACTCCCTGGTTAGAATCCTGGAGATGGCACAACAAAGTGGCTTGAGACGTTATCATACATTGCTGAGAGTAGAAGCCAGTGGCGATCCAGCAGTAACTTTCTTCATAAAAGTGTACGTAACTTCTTTGATTGAAATAAATCTTCTTGATTGTACTTTTGGTAAATGAACTGTTTCTCCCATTATTATTATTATTAATATTAATAAATCACTCTCATACACTAACTTCTGTTCGTCGTTGTTCTCCTTTAACTTATACGCATTTTACATTCACTATCTCTTCACAACCTCATTGTTATTGTGTGGCACATATGTATTAGATCCTCCTCTATGTGTTCAAATAAATAAATAAGAATGAGATGTTACTGTATATTTATGAAAATAAACACAGTTTCCATATCACAGATAAATCACAAGGTACCTATACCATCAGCGATAGCTAAAGAACACATGGAAGCTATTTTTATTTTTGTTTAAGACTACATAATAAGGTTAACCAACAATTCTACCAATTATCAAATTCAAAAAGTAAAGAAACAATGGATGATTGTTTGTTTTTTTTTAAATCACCCCTATAACATTTTAAATCTTAGTAATATGTATTGTCAGAGGAATTATTGCAGCTTTATGGAAACCTTAGGAATATTATTAAATTTATACCTCCTATATATATATATATATATATATATATATATATATGTATACCTAAAATCTATTTGTTGTTACTTTTGAATCAATTATTTTGATAATTATTAATTGCCACCGAATGCCCTGTTACGGCTGAGTGAGGAGAGTTATCTATCCCTCTTGAAATGCTCTCACATGGCCATATGCATACAACCACTGCCAGGGAACTCCTACTCACTGTCTTCTCGTGACGGAGGTGTTGATTACGAAATTGAGAGGACGAAAAGCGAATGTTCGGCGCTTGGTGGACACGGAGGATCCACTTAGAGAAGTTGGAAAACACTGATTCCAAACTAACGGTAAACATAGGCTCCAGGATCCTGCGGGAACAAATGGTGTATGAACCTATTGTTGGTTACTGGCTACCATGAGACTGCATCTTCTAACGTTACTCCATTGACTTGTGGATCAGACCTTTATGTCAAAGGCTCCGGGTGTGGTCATCTAAGAAAACCACTCACTTCGGTTTGGGCACCCAGGTATTATCACAACCCTTACACAAATTGAATGATTTATGTGGCGCATACCTATTTGGTTCCTACCTGTACCAATGTTTATGTGTTTTTTAAATAAATAAATAGTAGTAATTAATAGTAGTTTAATACACAACTTGTCATTATTTATGTGATATAATGTTTTGAATATTTTCAGAATTATCACGTTGTATTTACTTGACCTTTGTTTTGCATTTTGTTTTTCTATTCTACTCATCAAATTAATGTTTATTATCTTTTTCATAGAAAATATCATACGATAAGTAAATGTGTGTGTGTGTGTGTTTGTGTAACCAGATTACTTATTACATAACAATGTTTCTCTCTTGTTAATTAATTTCATCTTTGTTTCAATAAAAGAAAGTACTATAACATTGATAGAATATTGAATAGTAGACTGATGGAATAATCATGGATTTCTTTTCAATTTAATTCAACAATTTCTTCATGCTTATTTTGGATGAGGGGGGGGTGCATCATAAAGAAGCATCTAGCTGTGTGGTATTAACTAAAAAATAAGTACTATTCTCCATCGACTTCAGGTTAAAGTTGTCTACAGGAAAGATCTAACCAAATTGAATGTTATCTAAAAGTATAAATGAATTAAATGGTCTGTTTATTAAATATAGTCAACTTAATGCAGCAGCAGCCTTTGCATCAGTAGGCCTTAGTATGCACAAAAGAAAAAGCATGATCCTCAAATACAACACAGAGAACACCAACACAATCACACTTAATGGAGAAACCCTGGAGGAGGTGGAATCGTTCATGTACCTGATGAACAAGGAGGATCAAATGCAGAGGTAAATCCAAGGATTGGCGAAGCAAGGACAGCATCCCTACAATCGAAGAATACTTGGAACTCAAAACAACTGTCTGCAAGCCAATATCTAAGTCACAATCTTCAATGCAAACGTCAAGACAGTTCTACTGTACAGAGCTGAAACTTGGAGAACTACTACAAACATCATCAAAAACGTACAAATATTTATAAACAATTATCTACGTAAGATATTCAATGTCCATTGGCCGGAAACAATCAGCGACGGCCTACTATGGAAGAGAGCAAACCAGATTTTATCTAAAGAGGAAATCAGGAAAAAACGTTGGAAATGGATAGGGCATACATTACGGAAATCATCAAACTACATCACGAAGTAAGCGCTAACTTCGAATCATGAAGGGAAGCGGAAAGAGGAAGGCCAAAGAACATACTACGTAGGGAAACAGAAGTAGATATGAAAAGGATGAATAGCAACTGGAAAGGATCACCCATGACAGTTTTGGATGGAGAATGCTAGCAGGCGCCTATGCTCCTCCACGAGGACTAACAGGCATAGTAAGTAAGTAGCCTAAATAGTAAGATGGATAAATTGATTATAGGTTTTACACAGATGAAATCGTTCAATAGGATTATTCCGATGACGTAACAACATGAATTAGAGAATCGGCAATTACGATCGATGTATAGCCAGGAAATGTCAAGATCCGTCTATTGATAATTTAAATATTATCTAGTTTTTTAAGGAACCAAGACAGTGACAATATTGTGATTGAACTGTTATGTCCTATGACCCGTTAAATTATCATATGGCGAAACCGCCAATCACAATATGGACTTCTATGACCTTGTTTCTGTGCTAAATCGATGATGCGTTGAATAGCACTAGCAGCCTTCAGTCAACTCCGCGTCCTTATTGGCCCTCTGTATAGTAGCCTCCAGCCTGGCCCAGCCTGTTGTGTCCAGAAAACAATATCAACCTCCAACATTTAAATCGTATACCTCAGATATGCTTAGTTTAGACAGAATCCAACCAGACCGTATTACATCATAAAATAAAAAATAACAATTATACAAGGTCATGCCAAAAGTGGCTACGAGTGTGAGAGACTGTACCTAATCCGTTAGGAATAATTAAGAATGGTAAATCGTATAATCGTAGGAAATAAGTCAAAAAAAATCTTAGGATAAAAGAAATACGACTAAATATACAATCTAGTTACATAATAGTTATTCAATAAGAATATATGAAATGATAGTCCATAAATAATTCCTAGCCGTTACCATTCATTTAATATTCTAGTTCGTATAGAACATAACATAACAAATCCTAATAAGTCACAAACCTTCTCCATCATTTCAAAAACAAGATATACGTCTTGACTTTATAAGTAGTAAACATTAAAACAAATAATAATATACATGTCAAAGTGAACTATTGATGTCAACTTTTGATCAAAAATTATAAGAGTTTGAAGAGATTATTGTTATAAGAAAGTTTTGTTTAGATTTTCGAGTTTTTGAGAAATATTTTTTTAATGGTTGAAGTCATGAGTTAATTGAACCTAGATCACCATGAAAAACCTGGAGGCACTGAACGGCCGTTTCGTCCTATTGTGGGACTCCTCAGCAGTGCCCATCCACGACCTCATTGCCTGCGAGATTCAAACCCAGGACCTACTGGTTTCGCGCGTGAGGCGGCTCAGTGGTCTAGTGGTTAAGTGTTCGCGCGCAAAACTGATAGGTCCTGGGTTCGAATCTCGCAGGGAGCGAGGTCGTGGATGCGCACTGCTAAGGAGTCCCGCAACAGGACGAAACGGCCATCCAGTGCTTTCAGGTTTTCCATGGTTGTTTTGGATGCGGAGGAATAGACCAATAATTATGATGTTAAGTCCAATGGTGTCCTTGGACTTTAAATGGACATTTTCTATTGGTCGATATCTGTTCACTTGTTGAATATTGTACAAAATGTTGTTTTCTATTTTATGGTACGATGTGGTGTACTTGATTGGTATATAAACAAAGTATGTTTGAAATATAATGATTCATATCTCCGAGGCTGTGGCTTGTGTTCTGGACTCAACTGACTGGGCTAGACAAGGAAGTGCAAACCAATCGAGACTCTAGGCCGTCCGTACGTGTTTACGTGTCACTGTAATCGATCGATAAATACACTGTTCTCTAATCTCTTCAGTCAAGGACACAACAATTAGCACAGGGTAAAAATCGATCGCAACTTAAAGCCATAACAATGGTGGTCTAGCTTCAACTAACTCATGATCTTAACCATTGAAATCACTATAATATCCACAAAACCCATCTGATTTTGATGATACTTTACATATTATGTAGACATTTCAATAAATAATAATAATAATACTGTAACTGATAATTATAATACAACTGACAGAATACATTGTTATCAAATCATAGTGAATAATCAAATCCACAAAACAAAGAAAACGTGAATATCATGACAGTGTTTAGAAATAACAACAAAGAATAAATCAACATAATTGACATTTAAAAAAAAACGTTATATGGCAGTTATGATGTAAATAATAACTTGTCAAAATCATGAGGTTTCTGAAAACTTTCAAAAGTACACGTTATATAAAATGAATATAATAATAATAATAATGATAACATCATTGAAATATATATATATGTATATAAACCTTATAAGATAACAAGTTAAAAAGTAATAGACATTCCACATATATTATAGATAGATAATTCATTTCATTGAAAACGTCTAAACTGAACAAATGTCATAATTATTCAATGATAGAAAACTAAATTTACTAACTACTCTATCATAATATGTACGGTCATGTACGAAGCAAAAAGTAATGACAATTAACATGTACTCACTAGTGACTAGCTTCGTGAGGGAATTCTCGGAGTTCTAGTGAGAAGCTGTGACCAGTGGAGCTAATCCGTTTCGGATAGAGACAGGTATCTACCTCAATACAATGGAAGGTGGTCGCGAAATTTCGTGGATTGGTTGAAGTTAGACACTAACACCATTAGATGCCGGCTCAGTGGTCTAGTTGGTTAAGCGCCTGGCGCGAGTCTGATAGGTCCTGGGTTCGAATCTCGCGGGGAGCGAGATCGTGGACGCGCAATGATGAAGTGTCCCATACTATGACGAAATGGCCGTCCAGTGCTTCCAGGTTTTCAACGGTGGTCTAACATCAATTGATTCATGATCTCAATCAAAAAGTAATGATGTTGATAATCATTATGTTTATCTTATGGTATACAGACACTACTATGAAAGTCCACACTGTCTTATAATGAGGTTGTTGTTTGTGAAAATGAAATAAAAGTGAATATCTGACGCTTTAATCGGGTTGGAGAATATACAGGATCCACTTATGGGAGTTGGAAAACATTCATTTCAAATCAATGGTGTACATGAGCTTCAGGATCCTAAGGAAACAAATGTTGTATGAACCTATTGTTGGTTACTGGATACCATGAGACTGCATTTCCTAACGTTGCTCCAATGTCTTATGGATTAGGCATCTGGGTCATAGGGTTGGGGAATAGTTCCCTAGGAAAAACCACCTTGTTCAATTTGAGTGCCCGGGTAGTATACCAGCCCATTCGCAAATTTAATGATAACTACTTCGTGTGGTGTATATATATTTGGTGCCTCCTTGTATACTAATGTTTATGTGTTGAAATAAATAAATGATTCAAATTTAGTAACATGACAGATAAATTAATTTTAGTATATAGGTAGACAGAAAGCATGATTTAAAACATTTCTATCTGTTGAATAGTTCTATGTCTTTGACTAGTATTTATTTATTTATTTATTTTAACACACAGATATAGGTACAAGGAGGCACCAAATACATATGCGCCACACAAATCTCATTCGATATGTGTGAGGGCTGTGATACTGCCCGAGTGTCCAAACCTAAGTAGGTGGTTTTCTTAGGGGGCCACTTCCCGAGCCTTCGACCTGAAGGTCTGATCCACAAGGCAGTGGAGCATCGTGAGGAGATGCAGTCCCATGGAAGCCGGTGACCAACAGTTGGTTCATACGCCATTTGTTCCCGCAGGATACTGGAGCCCATGTTTACCATTGGTTTGGAATCCGGCCAAAGCGCCGGACATTCGCTTTTCGTCCACCCATTTTCGTAAACAACACCCCCGCCACGAGAAGGCAGTGAGTAGGACTTCCGTGGCAGAGGCTATATACGCGTGGCCATGTGAGAGCATTTCGAGAGGGAGAGCGGTCTCTCCCCACTCTCGGCCGTACCAGGGCATTTGAGGGCCTTTGACTAGTATGATGCTAACTATACATTTTTTATATTACAAACAAAAGAAACTTTTAAATAAAATAATATATTTGTAATACCCCAATGAGTAGAAAATTAGATTTTCTGACGTTTCGTGGCTTAGTGTAAGTCACTTCTTCAGAGAATAAATAACCAAAAAAAGAAACTTTGTTGGATAAGTGAAATTACGATTTTAATGAGGATTATCTCAATATAAAAGGGTATTTTCATTACTTTCAACATACATGTACTTATCTAATAAAGGCAACATTAGTAGAGATCATCTTTTCTATTGTAGAGTGAGTGTGTGTGAACATGTATTGACTGAGATAATTATTACATTTGTTGTTACACATGAATAACTATTCCCAACCTCGACATGATATGCTGATTAGAATACGTATAGTTTGCAAAAGATTACGTAGAAGGAAACTAGGAAGTGGTATCAGTGCATGAAACTACTGTAACTACCATGCTCATCAGTTTTAGGAGCTACTGACTTCTTGAGTGAAATGATTAAGATATTGGTAAACTGTGGTTAGAAGTTTACTGTGAAATGGCACAAAATTGGTAACAGCTGAATAGATTTTTCATTTCTCGCCGAATGATGAGTTTCTTTAGATCCTAAAACTTTGCCATTCTCTAATTCTATTTGCTTTTGTCTAACTATATTTTGTATGCTTTTTCTAACCTATTATTATTATCAGCCCAACTAATTTACTCATCATCCTATCAATTTCCTAAGATTATGTCGATACAGACTTTAATAACTTGAGTTGTTGAACATTTGTCCTAGATCTTATATTCCTTATGGCTAACCATTTTAGTATACAAAAATGTGAACAATTCCATTCAGTTGAAAATTTGAATCAAGAAAGGACTGGCTGCCTGACAGTAAACTGCACATAAAAAACAACAATATCGAAATGTTTCATTACCCCTATGAAAGATCCCCATGAAAATAATGCAGTACATCTTTTAAACTTAGTATAAGGCTACAGAGCATAAATAAATAGAGTAAGACATGAAACTGCTAGTATCAATATATCTTTCAGAAATTACACTAATATTACGGTGCATACATATAACTAGATACAGCTGCTCCATATAATAAGATTAGGAAGCATCAACCGGAATAGTTAACTTATGCTACTCTTCTCCTTTATTGAAAATAACACTTTAAAGGAATCAGAGAAAATATTTAGTATGAACCTAAAAGTTGTTAAATTGACAAGTCAGACCCGCTGGGTGCGGGATCGTGGATGCGCACTGCTGAGGAGTCCCATACTAGAACGAAACGGCCGTTCAGTGCTTCCAGGTTTTCCATGGTGGTCCAGCTTCAATTGACTCATGATTTCATTCTGTGAAATTTCAAAAATCTCCACAAATCCCTTCTGACAAGTGTATGCGATTTAGCATTACGCAATCAATAAATAGGTTGTATGTTTGAACCCTACTACACGATATCGGCCAATTCATATACACACGTAGTAATGCAAACGTTTTTTCTTCACACAAAAAATAGCAAAACAAATTATTTACAGTAATGACTTATTGATTACCGACCTACCTTATCACGTAGTGCCTCACCCCATATATTACTGCATGCATTCCATATATCATAACTATCGGACACACAGGCAAACGTTCCATCAGGATACAAATTGAGTAAATTCGAATATGCATTTGTTTCATTCTCTTCACCCCATACAGTCATTGCACTAAAATAAAAATTGTAGAAAACATGAATCCGCATTGTCAATATAGCAATTAAACTTGACATTGTTCAGTCAATGAATAGTTGTGACTAATTCTTAGTGTTCATTGAATTCCAATGACCAATTTTAGATGTGGTCAGTAATTCAAATGACTCGATATTGTTTGCACACGTTTGAGTGAATCCCTAAGAAACATGAAACCTAGATTTCTATCTAGTAGTAAATAAAAGCTCCAGTATGAATTACTCTTAACGCCATAACACAATTCAACTTTACATCGATCGATACACCATCGGGATTTATTTGACTAAAATATAAGCGTTAGCAGCAAGCACTATATTGGTCATCTGCAGTTAGATTGATGAATGTTAAGGTTTAAAGCAGGGTACTATGTAAATGTGGTAAGAAAGTGAATCGTCATCGACTGAAGTGATTTGCACATGTAATACGTGTCCGAAATCACCATCAACTTCAACTTGCAATATTGACTAGTGAACAAATAAGGTTGGGAGAAAGATGGGATTGGAAGAACCAAAGCATGTCATCAGTCAATGAATTCAATAAATCTTGTAATTATCCATGCTGGCAGAGAAAAACTACTTTATTAGGCTTCAAGAGATTATCATGGCTGATGCTTCGAGATGTAAGGTGACATGAATCAGAATCTGTCGCAACTGATACTTCTATCAGTACCACCTCTACAACCTTGGTATTCACCTTGATATGCCGATGTCGTCTAGTAGCTTGAACTGATAAATATATTTGCGCTGCTTGCGACTGACAATCCTACATTAGTATGAATGCACAATTCTCATGGTAAGACCACTTAGTTGAAATATTTTGGTAGATTTTATAAAACTGAACTACGGTCAAGTCATTTTCAAATGTCTAATTCAACTCATGCCATACAAATTACACGCTAAAACATGAATAGACGTAAAAAAACTGTTAAACAATGGAAGATACGTCAAACAAAAATTGTCTGAAATTTCTCTGCAGACATAATTATTGATTTTGTGTTCCAATTACATACGATACTACTATTTTATTGCATAAGTTGTAGGCATTTGGGACTTCGAGATAAACAAGCTAGATTTCGTAAGGATCGATAGTGAACAGACTAGATCACGACACTATGGATAACCGTTGAACAATCAATTGAATGGAAATCGTCATCATACATCAAGTTCCTTGATTATGAGAAAGCATATGACAGAGCAGATAACAGAACCTTATTCGAAATTATGGTGTACCTGGGAAGACCGTCAACATCATACGCGATTCATACGACGGATTACACTGCAAAGTCGTGGATGGAGGACAGCAAACAGGTGCATTCCAAATGAGAACCGGAGTCAGACAAAGCTGCTTACTCTCTCCCTTCATCATTGTTCTGGTGGTCGATTAGATTATGAAGACCTACACATCTGACGGGAACCACGGAATACAATGGACAACTTGTATGCAGCTAGACGATTTGGACTTCGCAGACGACTTGGCTCTTCCAGCTCATACACAGCAATAAATCCCAATGAAAACAACTAGTGTAACAGCGGCCGCAAGACACACACGAGGGTAAAAGCAAAATCCTCAAATACAACACAGAGATTACTAAACAAATCACACCAGGTTTCATCTGAAAAGGAAATCAGGAAAAAAACGCTGGAAGTGGATAGGACATATATCGTGGAAATCATCAAACTGCATGACGAAGGAAACCTGAAGGCAAAAGGGAAAGAGAAAGACCTGAGAGCACATTACGCCGAGTAGTGGAGGCAGGAATCAAGAGAATGAATAGCAATTGGAAACGACTAGAAGGAGAGCCCAGGACAGAGTTGGTCGGAGAATCCTAGTAGGATGCTTGTGCTCTTATAAGGAGTAACAGCTGTATATAAGTATAAATGCGGTCTAAATTATAGCATATTCTTTTGCAAATAGTAATTAACGAATAGTATCTGTGATAACATGTGATAAGGTGAAAATAGGACACAATGTAGTAATAACATAAAGCTTTATAATACTTATCAGCACTAATTTCCTGATGAATACGAAGGAAATACATCAATATATAAGATGATTAGTTGATAGAGCGTTGAAACAGTTGAAATCCAATGAAAATTAAAACCACTCTTTCAATAAACAGAACAATACAAAAACCATTTCGCACTTAAACAAAATTGTCGTTATACCATGAACATGAATTTATCTACAATGTTATAAACAACATTGAAATAAATCCAATTGAGAAGGGTAAGTATTTAATTTTCTACCTATATATGTGTAAAATCCCAAGAACTAACACAAGTAATTTAATGCTATACTTGAAAAAATACAAGTATTAAATTATTGACTGGAATCTTGAACCGATTGACCACCCTTGAAAATCTGGAAACACTGGACAGCCGTTTCGCTCTATTGCGCGACCATCTTCCATCATAATGAGGTAAATACATGTCTCTAGCCGAAATGGATTAGCTCCACTGGTCACGACTTCTCACTAGAACTCCAAGAACTCCTTCACGAAGCTAGTCACTAGTGAGCACATCGTAATCGCCACAACCCTATACTGATAATAAGTATTAAGACTGAAATATTAAAATTAATCCATGTATATATCTTTTTTATAACCATCACACTAAACACACTACTAATAGTGTCGACTAGTTAATAGTCTAATAATAAGTTTGTTAGTTGATACATATTTAGTCTATAATTAGTATATCATATGAATAAATACAGAGACAATCAATGTTTGCTTCCCTTTTTTGACAGATTTACAAAATGTATTACTAATTTTACACAAATGTAGACGAAATTTCTTTTTCACAGATTGAAATCATGAGTCAATTGAAACTAGACCACCATGGAAAACCTGGAAGCACTAGACGGCCGTTTTGTCCTAGTATGGGACTCGTCAGCACTGCGCATCCACGACCCCGCACCTCGCGATATTCGAACCCAGGACCTGTCAGTCCCGCGCCAAGCGCCTAACCAACTAGACCACTGGGCTGACATCCAATGGTGTTAATGTATAACTTCAACCAATCCACGAAGTTGCGCCACCGTACACCATTGTCTTCAGAGAGTTAATATCTCACAACAGACCTGGTTGAACTCCACTGGTAACTGCTTCTCACTAGAACTCCAGGAGTATCTCCTGAAGTCAGTCACTAGTGAGACGGATAGGCCCTGGGTTCAAATCTCGCGGGGTGCGGGATCGTGGATGCGCACTGCTGAGGAGTCCCATACTAGGACGAAACGGCCGTCCAGTGCTTTCATGTTTTCCATGGTGATCTAGCTTCAATTGACTCATGATTTCAATCTGTGAAATTTCTAAAATCTCCACAAACCCCTTCTGACAAAATTCTTTTTGTCAAAAGCAAACGAAAAAGGAGAATAAGTATAAATGGAAAGTTGTGAAAACGAACAATGGTCTTGAAAATTGAATATGTGAATATAGTTTTAATTGAAGTGACTATATATGTATATATATATATTCTCCATTCTATTAGTTTTAAATTATCCATTTCTACGATTATGGAATCAGTTAGTCATCTACAACGTATGATCAGGCACATATATGCATCGATCCAAGTTGCCAAACCTCGTTAGCACAACAACATAAACACAGAATTTGTACAGTTAGTTAATTCAATGGTAGTAATATATGAAAACAGATCGTATATATGGATATGATACAGAGAGAAAGAATTAGTTGGTAGAAAGAAAGATATAAAGCAATTTTAATCACACGTTTAAAGGGAAACAAAAAGAGTATTCACGTACACCATTGTGATCGATTCTGAGACATGTCACACAGAGTCTCCAACCATTGGTTACGATAGTCATGAGGACCCCAACAAATTAGTTTGCATCTAGCACCATGGTTCAGACCACAAGTCATTGACTACAAGGACTGATGCCACGTTTTGGTTTGGACGCCCCTAACTTACTTCCGTCAGCCTCCAACACTAGTCAACATTTCGCGCCGTGGTAACCGGTGGTTGGGCATGCGTAATACGTGGCCAAGCCATCTTATTCGATGAAAATTTATAACCTCATCAACTGACTCACCATCATCCATATCATTTTATACATAATTCAGATCAAGATTTATTCAATGGTAATCAAATTATTGCTATGTTCAATAGTACAACTGGGTAATCTGTAAGCAGATGGAAAATTTTATGACTGATAAGAGTTTTACAAACAATCGATCACTGAGTATGGTAACCTATGTCATGTTTGTTTAGTCCTTTAGTACTGATCGAATTCTACTGGCCAAGATGCTATATGACAGCTAGCCTAAGTGACTCGACTTCATGTGTACTTTTGAAGGTAGACAACAGAAAACCACATTCGATTCAAATTTCGTCGTAGATCACACTCATTAGAAAGCTATATTCGCATTCTCAGAGAAGCTGAAGCTCTAAATGAGATCCGAAAATGCACTACCCAGCTTCGCAGTGTGATGGGTTACGACTGAGTTAATCTGAGCGCGACTGACCCTCTATTGGATTAAGGTATTTATAACTGATATGAATCCCCAAATAGCGTCAGTTTGAAAATTATCGATGCCAAAGAAGCCTAATCGGTCTTGTTCATGTGATTGAATTCCTTAATAATAAATCAATAGTTAACACCTATATAAATCATTTTTTTAGAGAAAAATTATTACAAGCGATAATTTTCAATATAATTCATTTATCAGTTAGCGCTATTTGTGACGGCCAATGAAAATAGACAGCGAAATTAGGTTTAAATCTCCCTACCAATTATCTGATAAGTGAGATCAAGTTCTATTTATAAAACAGCTACATGAATTACTTCAGTATTAAACTGGTTTATTTCCATAAGATATTAATCAGTACTGAAAAACTTAGGGCGCGGCATAAATATGCATCAATAAAAATTATCAAGGATCATATCAATAGGAAATGATCTCAAAAATTAAGAGGTAAAATATCAAAAAATACAAACATCTGGACCACCCCAACCGACTT